GGGGAGGGTCACTGGACGGGGCCAACATTTGGACTGAGTGCATACCTTCGCACCTCGCCGCCTGTATGTGTTAGAGGCCCCGATATGCAATCGCAAATTCCATAGTAATAAGTACGAATTTCAATATCAGTTTTTTCCAGTGTAAGTAATTAAGTTATTGACCAAGAAAGATTGGAAATTTAGGATTGTAGCAAATACTAGCAAGCCAATATATATACTGCATATTTAATTCCCTATTACGCTCAAGAATGTTGAATTAAATATTACTAATATTTATCTTACTGCTGAAGGAACTCAATAATCTGGGTCAACACACTTAACAGTTGTCAAATTTCATCGTAGGCTACATTATGCAAACACGAAGATTAATTTAAGATATCCTAATGTGGTCATGACGCTAATGCCACCTTTCAAATTATTTTTATTTATTGTTTTGCCTGTGACTTCTTGTACGAAACTGCTATATGGTTCAATTACTCATTTCACTAAAATGTTTCTTCATTCTTGGCAAAGCGATCACAGCAGATGTGACGAGGGTAGCCCACCTTTTAAAAAAGTATGTTTGCTCCTGAAGTGAATGCAAACTTTCAGAACAATTAATGGAAGGTCGCATCGCTGATGCACTCCTTAAATATATACTGCTGATATACTCGTTTGCCTTTTTTGGAAAACTTTATATAGTACATTACACTTGGAACTCTATATATGTACAGGATCTCCAAAAAATTCCCCCACTATATATTGTGGTATTACTATTTTGGCATTGATATGAGTTACAGATTTTTAGTAGGCATCAAAGCAGAGTGGACCATGGGATTAAATCATAACTGCTAATTTAGCTATACCTACAGTATATACAGTACATTAACCCTTGCAGTAGTTCATAAAACCACATTTATATGTGTTCTCTTAACCATAGCCATGCCCGCTTTTATACGTCCAGTAAAAACCCGCCTAAAAGAACCAGTGGGTTAAAAAGCAGCAGCCTGAAATTTGGGAAATTAAACACCCAAACTATACAAGAATGACAAATGAGACTGATTCTTAAACAATCTTCTAGAATGCATGTTCTAAGTAAGGGCAGGCGGGTATTCGCAGGTGAATGCTTGATCTAATACCATTGCAAATGGAAAAGCATATAATCTGTTGCTGGGTATACTAATGAGGAAATTCAGAAACTTTTAAACAGCAATTATTAGACGTGTAATATACTGATCAACAGTTTATATAACTAATTAGAGAGACAAATAGTTTAAAATACCAAACTATAGGAACAATTGTTTTCGACGTACTATTTAAAACATGCGTATAGAGGAATGTTTCATCATATTTAAAATTAGAGTGCGCAACACGAGAATTTCAAATATGACAAAACACGACTACTGTACAATGTTTTAAATGGCTTAAAACACGAATACAGTACTCAATAGAGTGACTTCCACGAGCATCGTTATGTATTGTCTGCAGAATACAGTTGAATTAGCTGCCAAACGACTTGCAATCAAACCTACAATAGCAAACACCTACGCGGGTTGAGCATGCAAATTAGTCGTGGTCACCGGTCTTGACTCTTGTGGTTCAAAGCTCAACACAGATACAAGATTTACTGCATGCACAATATTTCGATCGTTTCAAGCGAGATGTTTATGGCAAAAGTGTTGTTAATGATGAAGCAAAAAGAGGAATTAAGGTTAGGCATTTTGAGCTAACGTTTCCAAAGTAATCAGATGTGTAATTTAAGTAGTTTTACGTTTGCTGTGTTAATAATGCGCATTGAACAGTACCAGAACTAACGTATTTTGATTCCAGTTAAACCATTGGATATTTAGCAGTTCTTCTCAGAATTTCGTATATGCATGTATTTGATTGATATCCAGTTTCTCAGTCATCTTATGTGGACCTCGTACATATTGTCCATACAGTTCAACTTTGTCCATACATCAGATTTTATATAAAACTACATGTGCCTTTATATAAAATCTCATGTTTGTTAACATTTTCATTGTGTTAATGAATAGTACAGTATTTCCGCTGGGATGGCTTTAAGTAGAGCATATTTTATCCACTGATCTAAAAGTAGACTGGATCGGTTTTTACTACTTGCTCTCATTTTCAGAGACGTTCCTCAGTTCAGGTGGCATTTTTGGGACACCCTGTATATAAATCATTTTCAAAGTTTCTTTTTTATCTGTTATATATGCTACGCTTCCATGATTAACACGCATTGCATGTGAAGAATTGTTATGCGACACGTATATGTTTGATCGATCCCATGGGCAGTTCTCGCTTTCAGCTGACGATATAAATAAAACCATATTTATATCGTAATTGATGATTCCCTTTATTACGTTTTCGTAGCGCTTTCCATTGTGGTTATGGTGGTATCACTGATAAAGATAGCGGCCTCGAATGAAAATATTGAATGTTTTCGCGAATATTTTGCTGTTGGATATCGTGCACCTGACCCTAGCTTTTTTTAAAAGTTCTTGCACGGGTCAGGACAAAAAATAAGCCATCTTGAATATCAATGATACCACTATAACCACAATGCAAAGCGCTACGAAAACGTAATAAGGGGAATCATCAATTGCAAAGATACGATCGAATATTAAGAAATAAGATATATTTTATTACTATATAAATCGCGTGTCATGCATACAATTCACAATCGTAATATACATGAGCATGCAGGTACTAGAGAATCTGCTGGGCTAAAATTTTGAAAAAAAAGAAATATAAGAAATTTTACTATATATTTTACTTATATTTATCAACTACCTTGTCGCTTTGTGATAAAGCCAAGCTCAGCCAGGCTGAGAAAATCAGGATTTTCAACAGAATCTTCACAGACATCATGTTGTAAATTTCGTCTCCAAGCAAGTTCTGTTTCTTCCTTCAGCTCCTCGAGACGTAATGAATGCATGCACCTATTGTGTTCAGTTTTAGTGTGCACGCCTCTTGAGAACTTGTCAAAAAAAGCAATTTTGATCAAAACCAAGCACAAGGGCGGCATGTAGTAAAATACTGACTACCGGAACACCACCGGAACACCGCCATTTTGTTTGGGGTTAGGGTTGGGGGTTAGGGTTAGGGTTGGAGGTTAGGGTTGGGGGTTAGGGTTAGGTGGTGTTCCAGTGTTCCGGTAGTCGGTGTTTTACTACATGCCCACAAGGGCGGCAATAGATCTCTTTGAAGGTGTAAGTGAATTTTGCCGAGTTATCAAGGCAAGTTTTGCGCCGAGTCACAAATTTTTCCGTTTAACCACTGTTTTTCGCTCCATTTTCCCCTAATTTAGTTTTCGTAAATTCTTCACATTTTAGCTATCATTCTTAATTTTTAATCGGATCCGCTCGACTATTTTCTTTTTTCCTTCCTATCCGAATCCATGTTTTTCCGACTGGGATTCAATATTTTGCCTACTACCTGATGACTGGGGGGAGGTGTTCCACCACCGGCCCTGACAAACATCATTTAATTGCAGACTACAGTATGTTATCTCATTTGCACGAGTGTTCACTGATTATTGATTTCCTTGCATGGTTCAGCAAAAAATAAGAGTTAATATTTGTAATTTCATTATTATATTACTTCATGAAATGCTAGCTATGTACCGTCGTTTTTGATTTACTGACATTGTTTCCTACAGTATTTCATGACCAAGTACGAAAAATCGTTAATCAATTTTTGCGATATAATAAATATATCTTGGGTTTATCAAGCGCCAGTCAAACGAGGATGAGAGTTGCAACTCGTTTGACTGCCAAGTCTCATCATCTCTCATCAACTTTGAGATGGTTGAAATTTTGATGAGAGTTAATGTGAGCTTTGGCTTAATTGCTTGACTGGTAATCTCTGGTCATCTTTCATGCGACTCTTGTTCTTGCGGTTTGACCAGGGCACGAGAGTTGAGGAAACTCTCATGCAAACTCTCGCTTGTGAACCCCAGTCATCATCTCTTATTCTCCTTCGACCGGGTTCTAATTTCGAAATCATTTTTTTTGCGTAGTTTGATAATGATGAATTTCAAATTAATTAATCCTCCAAGTCAGCCTCTTAAAGAAGAAAAATTATTCATACAGGTAAATACACTTGAGATGTCAAATTTCATTGATAATTCGACATTATCCACACAACATACAATCCTATATGGCCAAGTTCTGGAAGTTTTATAAGATCGTGCAAGATAACGTAACTTGATGCATTATTGCGGATTTATTTTGGCAATTCGAAAAAGATCATTCTAACTAGTCGACTCTGCTACAGAATAACCAGGAAGATTTTCCCTGGTCCACTTCCAAAGATACACGTTTTTCAGCGTACTCCCCAGCTGGGTCATTGTTATTCAGCTACATTTGTGACGTGGCATGCACGTTAATGTCCATGCAAGTAAATTGATAAATCGAAGTATATATAGTGTGCATGTGTTTCTTTGTTGGGAAGAGGGATTACTCGAGTGGGTGCTTCGAACCCACAACCTTCGAAACTCTAACTCTTCTGTATATATCAACATCGTATCGATTGACTTAAAACACTATATATACAGGGTGTATAAAAAAAACTGAACAGATATGAATTTGCTCTCAATATCGCAAAACAGCTATTAGTATCCAGTTTTTTATGTATACAGCTATTTCAATTAAGGTTGTCCACGAGCAAAGCGGAAAAGTCGAATACGAGCGCGAAAGGCTGCTGGGAACCGCATTGAAAATTAATTAATTTGTTAGCGATTGGCAGCAGCCTTTCGCGCTCGTATACGACTTTTTCGCTTTGCTCGTGGACAACCTTAATTGAAATAGCTGTATGGCTTCTTTAGGTACTTATAATGTAGAATAATGAAAAATATTTCTCGAACTCAAAATTTTGTGAACCAGGTGGGTGCGTCTTTTCCAACAAACAAAAAATGGCTTGCGCACGAAATTTAAAAGCTTTAATCATATTGTGAGTTAATAGATTGAACATTTGTTGGGTTTTTAATTACTGTACAAAATTTCAGACAATTTGCTGTAGTTTAAGCCCTTTAACTATTCACGCAAACTTACATTTTTTTCTAAAAGATCAGCTATTTGCATGCTTAATTATGCCTTTGCCTAATTTGCATATGTCAGCAATATGCAAAGTGAAGACGATAGATAAACCCCATTAAGCTTCATTATCTATTGTTTGAATTGCATTCGACGCGACCGAAAATCGACGTATAAAACAGGTCTTACTAGCAGACACACAGAAAAACAATCTCACGAATAGGGATAAAAGAACTGGGCCAAACATTAGTCATTAGGTTTAGAATATAAGCTATACAAAGGGTGTAAACTTGATTATGAATCATGTCTGAGGAGACATATTGAATTCGACTAAGAGTAAATGTGTTGTGTCCATAGATATCTTATACACACTAGATAGTGAATCTAATTATTCTGCAATTCAAAAATTGAAGCCGTGATTGCAGACTCAGGATATTCCTGTGAAATGAGAAGACTCGTATGTTTTCTATTTCTTAAACAGGGAACTTAAACATTCAGTTAAACCTATTCCAAATACATTTTCAAACTATTCAATTGATGAAAGTTATTGTTGTTTTTTAAACGTTTATTAGCGAGTGGGAAACTTCAACATGGCCGCCATCTATTCAAATGGAGGTAACCGCTGGAATATTCTTGGCTCAATTTTACTAAAAGAGATGCGCTATCTAGTGTATGTAAGATATCTATGGTTCTGTCAGACGAGATACACATGTATCACTGAATAGTTTTAGCAACGAGAAAGATGTCTGATTTCCTTATTGGTCTATACACATAAAAAAAGGTTGGCAATTTCTAAAACCCCGAATAAAAGAACGACGCAAAACAATATTCCAATTATCCTTTCTATTCTTTTAAATTTAGACTCTAGTGCAACATTTTTGTAAAACTCAAAACTTCCACTTTAAACTGACTGACAAACAAACTTTTATTAAAGTTTATATAAAGTTTGATATTTTATCTATAAGAAGCCCCCCATATTGATTATTAAGATATAGTACTAACTTTGAATATATCGCAGGTGCAGGTAGTGAATAGACAAGGACCTGCACTCACAGGGTGCACATATTGTTAGCAATAATTATGACCTATAAATTCTACTTTTGTGTTAAACTATTTTTGATTGTATACTTTTACCAAAGACGCGTTCTATATTACTTAATGTATGTTTTGCTAAGTGATAACGTTTCAGTTCATGAATTATCCCTCAAAATCCGCTCGTCTATCCTAACCCCAACATCGCAATTTTTCCAGTGTGTGGTATCCTTTCTCATAGCTAGGGGAACCGGTATCTCCAAACCTCAGCTCAGTAACAGGCAGTGTCTTCTTGTCCGTCAGATATCCACTGTCTTCACGCCATGTGTAATCATTCTTGTCACAATTACATTTCCCTTTACCTGCACAGCTGTTGGTCATTCCACATGCACATTTTCCACTGTTGACTGCCGCTCCACCCCAGTAATTCATCTTTGAACCTTGACGTGATACCCACCAACCACGAGGTGTAGAGTACAATAAAACGCTACCATAACATTCATATTTTATAAACTGCTCACAATTTTTGGATTGCTTCATAATGGCAAGGATCTGTTCCATGGAAATATCATATTTAATCTTTCTTTTGTAAGAACCTGGAGATTCATATCCCTCCACAAGTGTTCTTGATCCACTGTCATGTCCAATCACCGTTACACCAACACCATCCTTTGACGTCATATCACAGTATACTTGAACCAATGGCGATGAACTGAGTCCTTGGGGATTAATGTAATACATTCCACTGCGTGTTGAAGGATGTTTTATTAACAAAGCTGAACAAGTCGTTGATGGATCTAACCTGGCAATATGTTTCACAATATCTGAAAAACAATAATTGTTTTGAAAGCTGTTAAACTCAAAAATAATTCTTGAGATGCGCACGTCTAATACTAATTCTGGGTCCATAAGGGTAGATGTGGATATCAATAGACACTTCCCGAATTTGCTTGTGTGCACACGAAACAATAGCTTGAAATCGAGGCGGGCAATGTAATCCAGTTTTCATTGCCAGCCAGCTTCTTTGTGAAGTTATTTTACTATATATTTATACAAGCAGATATTAAACAGCATATACTGTATAGCAACAAACATAATTTTTTCTATACACTTTCAGTAAAATCGCGATTAGAAACTAAAACAACAAGTGCACATTAGGCTATTAATAACACTGTTTAATGCATTTATCAGTTGCTTATCATTACTTTATCTACAGAGATTCATGCTTGAAATTTGGATGTTACGTTTGAGTGTTAGAGTTGGCGAGAGTTTAGTTTAGGGAACTTTTCCTGATCTTTATCAGCTTGTCAAAGCAAAACAAAGAAGTAGATATAACTATCAAGTCAAATAGTGTTTTCTGGTTTAGCTGTATTAGTATGTTAATTGGTACAGTATTTGTTGTATTGCTATGTGTTTTAACAACAAATTACACCGCACAAAGCAGGGGCAGAAGCAAAATTTGATACTTGATTAAATCACTTTAACTTAATAACTTGTCCTTCAGTTGTCATTATAATAACGAAGTTACTCCCTCCGATTATAAAATTTGGAAAACGTTACCGTTAGTAACTCATTTAATTTTAATTATTTTAAAAATTGTTGCATACCAGAGATTAATTTTCTGTCTTACCGAAAATGTTTGATTTTCTATAACCTTAACCATTTTTATTATCCTTTTATATTGTTACCTTGATTTTGTTTTTCCAACTTTCGAGTCATATTTCCTTGATTTTGAATTTTCGTTTCTTGAATGTTGCTTTTGTTTCCTTGATCTTGAATTCTCTTTTCTTGACTTTGAATTTTCTTTTCTAGAATGATGGTTTTGTTTCCTTGAGCTTGAATTTTCTTTTCTTGACCTTGAATTCTCTTTCCTTGACTTTGAATTTTCTTTTCTTGATTTTGAATTTTCTTTTCTTGACTTTGAATTTTCTTTTCTTGAGCTTGAATTTGTTTCTTTAATTGCTGAAGCTTAAATAAGATGTAATCTTGTATTAAGTGCTCATATTCTCAATGCTAAATATCGGCGAATGCTTGTTGATTACGAATCATGTTTCCATTGTTACATTCATTCCCCAGTGAATCTGCCATATTGAATTCGACTAGGAGTAATTGTGTTGATGTCTTTATGGTACATGGTACTACATGCCAAAGTTACTCATTAATTTCAGCTATATAATCATGATGTAGTTCAACAGTGCGACGTGCTATTTCCTCGTGTTTAAACTAACCTCTTGTTCAGTGCTCAGTGCTTGCCACTTTGATCCTTGATTGACATAAAGTTGTTTATCATCTTTACGATATGAGAGAAGACCTGGAACATCTGGAATCTTGTCTAAACTTTCCTTGTCTGATACTGTCAATGTCTAGAATATAAAGATAATGCTTTCTTTCAAATTAAGTACTCCTCTATAACATCAATTAAGAAATATCCAATGCTTGACTAGGATTTGCATTTCAGAATAGCTGCCGATGGTAATAAAATCCATGCCTGAAGTATTCTACTTACACCTTCGTTTAAAAATGATCTAAGTTTTCCTGAGCAGGAACCCTAAAAACAAACCAAACTGCTGGTTAAATTTAGTTTGTATTTTTTTGTTGCTGATTTTGCTATTGCTGTGAACATTGCTGTTACTGATACAGCTGTTGTTGCCAATATCGTCGTTGTTGTGGTTGTTGTTGGTATTATTTCTGTTGTTGCTGTCGTTCTTGTTGTCTTTGTGGTTGTCATTGTCGTTTTCGTTTTCACTAGCGTTATCTTTAACGTTGTTGTTGTTGTTGTTGTTGTTGTTGTTGTTGTTGTTGTTGTTGTTGTTGTTGTTGCTTCTGGTGGTACTTTGTCTGTTGCCATGAATAGGTCATCTTAACTTTCAATAATATTCCCACCTTTTGTGCAGTGCCTGTTTGTGGATCAATGAAATGTTTTTCAAGTTTGCCTGCGGAATTTTTCACCACAAACTCCATACATCTTTTCCACAGACGTTCAGGCATTCTGGTTCGCACCCAAAACCAAACGAAAGCTTCCATCTTTACAGTTCCACCGTTAATTGCTGTGCAATTAGAACTACAGTAGTTTTGTCTTCCACCTTTAGGACCAAAACATGCACAACACTACAAGATATGGAGGAATGCAAATTTTCTCTAGATGTATTCCACATAACTAAAATTTGAGACTAGTATACATTGGTCATTATCAAATTATTAATGTTGTTTTAGTAATAACATTGATGTAAATAGCTTGTCACATAGCAAATAACTACCTTGCCATGATCACACCCAACAAAAGCTGTGGAATTATGATTCATTCCAGAGAATGAAGAAACAGCGCTATAGCTGAAGAAAATTACAATTTCAGTCAATAAGAATTAACGAACGTCTATGCAAAATGAAACGGTTAAAATGTTGTTTTCTTGTAGATTATATATAGGTAATATCAAATTCGTATCGATGACAATCAAAACTCCATGATCCAGTACCTGTATGCTCCAAAAATATCG